CAATGTATCTATTTGTAGTTTTATTTATTCACTAACTGATTTCCCATTAAAATATGTCTTTCTTGAACAAAGAAATAATGTTTGTTTGCCACTTCATTTCTTGCGCCTAAAAAGTTTCTAACACATAGTAGATGCTCATTAAAAGCACTGAATGTTAAGTGTTTTTAAGTATAAGATGCTTTAATTCCAAAAGAATACATTGGTTTTTCTTAATTCTCATTCTTACTAAGTTATCTAACGCACATATAATTGTTGCTTTTCCTCACTTCAGTGTTTTCAACTGATGCTTAAAAATAAATAACCAACACAATGTGCATGGTTCCCATTCAATAACCTACTAGTTTTTTGGAAAGCCATTTACCTGCAAGAAGTCACTGAGAATCAATGTAAATTCAATAAAATTTCCCCAAAGCTGAAAGTAACCTGAGGATAAGAGTTAATTCTGAGATGAGAGTTTTGTAATATGACCTATTATCCAGGAGGGAAATACTTTATCTGAAGTCAATTTCCTTCAGTGAATTTTGAATAGGCTTGTTAATTTTTACATATAACTGTACTTTTCCAGTGTTTCTTTTTAAAGGATATACAGTGATGACTCCAACTCCACATTTGCTTGGACTGTAGATTCCATTCACTGAAGAACAATCATGCACTTTCAAGAGCTTCCTAAATTTTCCTTATTTGTGCCACCTATCTATTTAATCAAGTCAACTCAGCAAGCACTGATAACATGTCTAAAACTGTGCCTTACACGAGTTCTGTTGCTGTTGCAATGCAAAAGAAACTCATAACAAAGTATCCAAGGAACTCCCAATCATATCCAGATTATAAAAATTAAACCCACAGTTAGGTAAGGGATGGGAGGGGTAGAAAATCTGATGACACTGCATGTGATAAAGTTAGTTACTAAGCACAATCAAGAGTCTCACTTTAATATTCAGATAGCAAAGAGTCACATGGCTTAATGACGAGACGATCAGCTTTGAAATCATCTGACCTTTGTTGGAATCTGGTTCTGATTTTTATTACCTTTGTTGGTTTCCATGGGGATATTAGTAGTTATCCCACTGAGTTTTTGTAGGGATAAAAATATATAATAGATGCAAAATGTCTCACATAATCATTCTCAAAAATGTGTAACTCTTATGGCTGGTTAGAGGAAGAAAACAACAATATTTAGTCAAAGAAGAAAGATTCATGGAAAGAGAGATTTGAAATTTAGTAGTTGATTCAATATAAATTTTCTTTTAGATCTATTATAATCAGATCCTTTGGATACTAATGTTGACACAATTTCTTGAAGTCTATATTTTAATGGGAAAAGACAACCAATAAACACATTAAAAAATACTGCTCAGTGAAGAAGACGTTGAAAGGCTGTAACGTAATAGAGCAATACTGGGAAGGCAGAGGGGAAGGCAAAGGGTTGGCCCCTCTGAGTAGGTCATACGTGAGATGAGACTTGGATATGCAACTAGCTCCAGGAAGATCAGGGTGAACAGAGTTCCAGAGTGGGTCAGAGTAGCCTGCTTGGTGTGGATGGCCAGTGTTGATGGAATGTAGTGATGGAGGGAGATAGTGAACCAAGTGCGATTCCAGGAGTAATGTACAGTGTCTAGAAGGCCAGGGAGCAAAAGGATTTTATTAGATGACATGCTGCATTCCCCAAATTTGAGCAGGAAGAAAACACAAGTAAATTCACCACCAAAGAAGAAAGAAACACCAGCCTAAAAACGTGACAAGTAAAAATGAGCCTGGCTGAAATATAAAGGCATCATTTGTAAAAATTTTCAGAATAGTGGTTTAGATTTAAGCAAAGGGAATTGGATGCCATAGTTACTAGTTTTTCTTAAAAGGTGCCTGTGGACTGTCAACAGGAATTCATCACCAATTCTAACACCTTCCAGGGCTTATTTCTTCATTTTGGATTCAGTTTTCCTTTTGGTCAAACCTTAGTGAAAATTTTTTGACAAATCAGGTTAGATTCTAACTGCATTATATTCTTCATGGAGAAGCCTCCTAAAAATAAAGTATTAGGGAGGCACAATTTATATTTTTATACAGCCTGTTTTTAACTTTTTACATTACTCATCAAGAGATATTAGAGTCATTTTTTCTTTTTCCTTTACAGATTTTCCTTACATTTTTCCAGTCCCTGGCAGATTCAGTGGTTTATATGCCTAGATTAAAAAATATACAAAGCATTAAAATGTTGGTGAAGAACAGTATACATGTCTTTCAAGGTAAATATTATTTAAATAATAAATGGAAGTGTTTTTCAAAACCATGATACTGTTTCCCCACTCTCCTTTAATTTACAAGAATAAACAAAACTTTCAAACTTTTTGCAGTTATCAAAATTCTTTTTTATAAGCTTATAGTATCACCATATAATGACCATTTTTTTTTTTTTAGTTCATAGTCATGTGCAAGCAAGCTTCCCAATGCTACCCATATGCACATTCTGTCTTGCTGCCTGTGCAGCTATAGACAAACAATTGACCTCTTTGGTCTCTGTTTCCTGTATGGTTGTGAAGAACATTAAATACGCTGACATATATTAGTCTATGCATGATGCTTAACACAGAGTAGGTACTTATTAATTGTTGATTACCTTTCCAAGTTCAGAAAATGTCTGCCTCAGAGCCAGGTTTCTCTATCTCTTATGAGATAATAAAAGGTTCTGCAGTTACAGGTTCTTCTGCCCTGGTTTCTAACCCAAGTACTATTCGGGGCATCAGACAACTATCCCAAATCTCTGACCTCTATCAAGTCCTGGTTAAGTTAAAGGTTTACTTCTCTAACTACTTGGATGACTAATATCATCAGTCTGTTCTTCACCTTCACCCTGCTGATCTAGAATCATCCATGTCTGGTCTCTACTTGGCAACCTAGAGCTTTCTTGATTCACGTTAATGTTTGAGGATTTCTGAACTTTTACTATTTGAATTTTTGTACAGTGTTCTGGGGGGGGGAGGTTTGTACAGTGTTTAAGGTTACCACCTGCAGTCAGACTGATCTGAGTTGGAATTTTGACTGTATCATTATTATGATTATATTAATATAATAATCTATTATTCTTATTATAGTTGTGTGACCTTGGGCAAGTCCTTTAACTTTTTACAGCTTTAGTTTCCTCATCAGAAAATAGTAGATAGTAATCCTAAACTCAGAGTTTAATGTGAAGGTTGAATGAAGTAAGGCATATTAAGTATTAAGCACAGTGGCTAGCACAATTAAGAATTCAGGCAATAATGGCAATATATAACAGAGAGAGACAGACAGAGAAAGATTAGTTCAATCTTATCACAGATCCAACTATTGCTAAAAATGGTAATGTTAGGAAGTCTGATCTGTGCGGAATAATAAATTTATCAGCCACTTTACATGCATTAGGAGAAGAATAATAACTTGGGATGAGTTCATATGGTGTGTGATTGTTAAAACATTGTGACAAAATACTTACCAAAAAACAAAGGAAAATAGAAAAAGAAAAGAACAGGAATTTATATTAGCTATCCCTACTCCTTTATGATCTTAATTCTAGTTATAATTTAAGGAAAATAGATTGAAAATTACTTCTCCATTCTTTCCTCTTTGAGATGTTTCCTCCTTCTTCAATTCACGTTAGCATAAGAACTTGTTCCATCCGAATGAGTCTTCACCTCAGTGGAAAAGGACACACAAATATATTTTGAGGAGATTAATGTCAATGGGAACTAAAACCCCAAAAATATTACAAAACATTGTGCTGATGTACTACAACACTGTGGATTGTTAAAAGCAAATTTATCTGCTTTTGGCATTGTCATTCCTCACATTGCCTAAGCAGAATTGCAATCTCGAAGGAAGTGGGAAGGGGATGAGAAGTGAGAAGTGACATAAAATGATTAGTTCTGCTCCACAGACGCAGGATGCTGGCGTGCTGAGGACCGAGTCAAGCATCTTAGCTGTGAATTTGTTTGTAAATGTGTCTGTGATTTGCACCATGAGGAAAAATGAAGGGAACAAGAAACCACACTTTAGGACTGCATGTGACGGTAAAAAAATAAGCAGGCTATATCTTATTGTCGGTGTTATTTTCTAACTCTGTTGATCTTGCAGATTCCCTCCTGCCGTCCTCCATTCATGCTTCTACATATGTTCCTGTTAATGTTAACCTCACTACTAAAAACAAAACAAACACAATGTAGTTACCATGAGTCAGAAAGTTTTAACATCCATTTTCATTGTGGGCTTTCCAAATCAGGGCAGGTTAGCATTGTGGTTAAAAGTACCAATTCCAGAGACAAATTGGCTGAATATGAATCTTAGCTCTGCCATTACTCTTCCTGTGAACTTGGGCAAGTTATTTGAATGTGTTTTGCCACAATTTCCACACCAGTTTAAAAAAGGTTGAGAATGATAATGATATGTATTTCATAAGGTTGCAGAGTAGCATAGGCTACTCAGTTGTGCAGCTGTAGCATGAAAATAGGCATAAAGAATACTTAAACTAATAAGCAGTGTTGTGTTCCAATAAAATTTTATTAATATAACAGTAGGCAAGGGTAGATTTGGCCAGTGGTCTGTAATTTGCCAACCCCTGATTTATATCATAGAATTTTTCCATCTGCAAGGGGCTTTAGCGATTACCTAGTTTGACACCCTCATTTTACATTTGAGACAACTGAAAGTAAGGAACAGGATGTAACTTCCACTGCCCCTCCACCAAAAAAAAAAAAAATTATACAGCTAGCATTAAACAACAACAATAAGAAAAATACAGTTATGTTTTTTTGAGACAAAGTCTAACTCTGTCACCTGGGCTAGAGGGCCATGGTATCAGCCTAGCTCACAGCAACCTCAACCTTCTGGGCTCAAGTGATCCTCCTGCCTCAGCCTCCAGAGCAACTGGGACTACACCATGCCTGGCTAATTTTTTCTATTTTTAGTAGAGACAGGGTCTCAATCTTGCTTAGGCTGGTCTCAAACTCCTGACATCAAGGAATTCTCCCGTCTCGGCCTCCCAGATTGCTAAGATTACAAGCATGAGCCATTGCACCCTGCCACAACTATTGTTCTTATACAAATCATGGTATCATTCTTATCTGCAGAGCTTCAATAATGATGTTTTATTTCCCAAAAATAAAGGTTTCCCCTAGAAAGTAACTCAGACTTTCCATTGGTGGTGTTAGGTTCAGTTCCCAGAAGCAGATCTTCAGAGAAGGACTCCTGTGCAAATGATAAGCAGTTAAAGAAAAGACAGGGAAAGGAGGAAGCCAAGAAAGAGGAGATTTCAAGAAAAAGCCATGCAGAGGGTAGGTCTGAGTCTGATCCTATGATTGAACTCTGGAGTGCAAGTTTCTTAAGAATTGTGCTATTCTTCATCTTATAATTATTAGTAATGGGCATCCTAAGAGGCTATACTAACAGTCTTCTGCATTCCCTTAATAACAGAAAACATTACATAGCTTAACCTGTTTAAAAGTATAGATCAGAGGCTCCTGCTGCAAGCTAAATTTCTATTTGAAGTTTTTTGTTTTATCTATGAAGGTTCATATAAATTTTGTTTTTACCTTAGTATATCAATGGTTGCTTGAGAGTTTTTCCAAATCTATGAGTTTGATTTGCTGTCTTCAAAAGTTGTTTTATTTGATACATGATTTATTTAAATCTTTAAATCTTAGCTTTTATTCTTTTTTACCATTACTCTCCCAAGAACTAGTAGAAATTCAATTTTACTTGAAATAACATCTTAGTAGTTTTCTTTTCTCCTTTCCCATTTATACTTTCCTCTTCCTATAGAAGAATGGAAGGGGGCAGGCAGCTTCTTTGTGGGTACTTCATACCCCCAGCTCTCAAGACAAGAAAATAAAACAATTGGATAAACATCCATCTTACTATTCAGGTTCCTTACTGTAAATTCTTAAGTGCTTTTCCAGTCTAATTTTAAAAAGAATTTGAGATCTAAGATTTCTTCCTCCAGTCACTTCAACTTCATAAGAAGATTAAAATGATTTATGATGCCACACCATTCTTTCCAGATCCTGTTATGCCCCTTTTATTATGGAGATGATTTAAAAGACCCTCTCAAATCACTAAGGCCTGTTTATATTATATGAGAAGTGTTTTGCTTGTTTGCTTGTTTGTTTTCTTTCCTGGTAAAATACTAGATTTTTCTAGTAATGTCTTTTTTTTTTTCTTCTCTATTGTTTCTTAAAACAGGACTCTCTATTGTTCCTTAAAACAGGACTCACTTTTATGGTTTAGATTTGTCCATGGCTGCTTTCAAACTACCACTGCAAATCTGAGTACCCTGCAAAGCCTAAAATATATATTATCATAAAATTCTGCTGATCACTGATCAAAATGATGTAACAATTACAACACAGCTGATCAATGTTGGAAGGAAGACTGGATCCCAGGGTATTCTGCATGTATTTACATAATTTGAAATCCTCCTCTTGATATCAAAGATATCCACAAGTTGGCCAACTTTGTAGCTGCTTATCTTTTTTACTTTAGGCAGATGCTACATTTGTGCAGAAACTTATCTCAAACTTTCCTGTCACCCACTAATAACTGTAATAATATCTTGCCCATCCTTTGAAGTCCATTTCAAATAGCATGTTTTTAGTAATGGCTTTCCCATTTACTTCCAACCAGCTCTGATCTTTTTCCTGCAATCCCTTTGGATTATGCTTTTATTAGTTTATGCCTTTCTTGTGTCATTAATATTCTGTTGCTTAATTATTTTTGTTATCTTCTTCCCCATACTATAATTAAGCTCCTTGAAGGAAAAAGTATTATCGAATTCATCTTTTGACTCCCTGCACAATATTTTCACATACATTGAGGCTCAGTATATTCATTGAATGGCTGAATTAGATTTGATACCCATATCAGAAAGATGCCCTGTTGTCTGAAGATGTGCAGGTTCACCTTACATATCCTGACTGTTCATCACCCACACTAGTGACTTGTAGTGATCACAGATATTTAAGAGTTATAAGGCCCTCATTTCAGTTTAAACTATGAAAATTTCCCCTACAGAACTTTGGCCAATAATTCCTGCCTCAATTGTTTAGTCAAAGATTCCCAAGTGTTTGCATACCACATAAATTATTTTGTCAAACCCAAGTACCACATTTTTTGCTGCTTCATCTATTTTCCTTAAATTTATAACACATATCCATGTAATATTCAAAATTATCTCTTGAACCATCAGTGATCCACATACCCAATTTTGGATAAAATGCATGGTTGGACCAAAACAAAGCTCCAAATCACACATTGCTTCTTGTTGATGTATCAATGGTTCCAACAGCTTATCACTTAATTCTTAACTCCCATTAATACAAATTACATTTAAAAAAATAAACACTGGTAAAAATTGGTTGTTGGGTTTGCTTGCCTGAAAGAGACTTTATCTCATCGACCGGTGACTTTGCTCTATGGCAGGACATACCACATTGCAGGAAGAACACTTCTACTTACAGCTCTTAATCATTTATTTGAAGCTAAAGCCAAATTCATCTTCTCAGGAACTAGGAACAAAACATGTCTTCATGCAGTTTCTATTATGGGAGAATGATGCTAAAACAAATGAAAGAAAATAGTAGTTATTATCACCTACTCATTAGGTTTCCAATTAAAGAAAATTTTCATCCTGACAGACTTTGACTAGTTATTCTTCATTCTTCCTTTTCCGAAGTGAAGCTTTTCTTAATCACAAAACCTTTAACACTTTTAGAATATTGTGAAATGCAGATAATATTAGAACTTACTTCACAGTATTTTATGAGAATTAAATGAAGTGTAGCAAGGTGAGAGCATAAGTATCAGAAGAGGTCATTTCGTATCAGCAATGACTTACATGTTAAATTTTATATACCATGCTACATTTTTATTAAGGAAAAATCATATGCTAAAAATTTGGAAACTATCCTATGATTTTTAATATGAGACATATTTTACTTAAATGCTTAGAGAGTAAAACAGTTTCTTGTGAATTCATTCATTCAAAAGTTTACTTATTCAACAATATTTAAAGTCTTATTACATAAGAAGTGCAGTTAATGCAATTATTTATTAATAACATTAACATTATTATACTTTATTAATAGTTCTCAGTTACTAGAATGTTCAATTATTGGGCATTCTATCCCTAGTCATTCTTGCAAATAACATTATTAAATTTTTCTAGGAATTCCTGCATATATTTACTTATATTTATTCAGTTATACCATGACTATTTTCAGACAGACTTCAGAGTGATTGGTTCGCGCATGACTATGTGAATTGCTAAAATGTAAGTAGCAATTATGCACACTTGACATGAATATGAGATCTCAGAAGTCCTAGATTGATGTGTTCATTCATTCATCCATTCATTCTTTTTGGCCAGTTACCATGACATTCTTATAAGATGGGTATGATGAGTTTGAGTGCCTCTTTGAGTTATATTCAAGTCCCTATATCACAATTTTTTTGATCAAAAAGATGTGGTTAATAATGACTAATATGGATAATATTCTATCCATAGTAGACATCTGTGGCTTTTGCCGTTCAGCATCCGTTCCTCCTCTTTCTGGTAACAGCATGTTAATGATCTTTCTTTGGGTAATCATACCTCAACCACTCTCAGTCCACATAGTCTGGGCATGGTTTACTCTAAGCGTCAGGACCAGGGGTGGGCACAAGCCCACCAACCAGAGCAGGCGATTGGTGGAAGACAGGACTATGATCCAACCCCTCACAGTGGATCGTATGTTGTGATTTTGGAGTTACTAAATTGTTTATCCTCTCAAGATTGCTAAAAGGGAACAGCTGGTCATCTTTGAAGAGACCCCGCCTAAGAATGAAGCCTACTTTCATAAAACAGAACTGAGAAACGAAATAGTTTAAGCTTCTGAATCCACCCGTAAGGAAAGCTGGGACATCTTTGACTTTTCAGTTACTTGACCTAGTGTTCACTTGCCTAAGGAAGTTTGAGTTTGATTTCTGTCACTGACAGCCCCCAAAGCACCGAATACTGCACTATACATAATCTTTGAAGAATTAGATGAGTAATGAGCTGTGGTATTCATCGCAGAGCAAGCAAGCAAGCACTCAGTATTTCCTATAAATAATAATTATAACTGTAATTTATCAATTATGGAGAACCTAATACAAGTTAGGTAAATGGACTGTATATACTACTTTGAATAATGAAAAACAAGAGTAAAACACAGTCATCTATCTTGTAAAATTAGCAAAGGACATACCTCCAAAGGGGATTTAAAAAAAAAAAAAGAAAGAACAAAACACTGCAATTGGCTTTAGATGTACAAAAGTCAGAAGAGATTAACTTTGCCTGAGGCTGTAGATACCTGGGGCTTTTTAAAACAAACTATCACATATCCAAGTTCTCTAACTTTTGGAGGCCCCTTGACACACAATATAAAGCATATTAAAATATGTCTTTCCTGTGTTAAATTTAATTTTGTATAACTATAGACATAGTATTACATTTTATAGACATTTAATTAATTTCAACATTACAGTTTGTTTTTTAAAATGTAGAGCCAATGGGTACATTTTTTTTGGAATTTCAATATTTATAGACCCTAGAAAGGCTTATAAACCCTAGGCTCTATAACTATGGTATCTAAGTGGATAAATATTAATAATTCTGGTAAAGGAACAGTGGGAAAGGCCTGGGAGAAGTGTAACCCACATTCTGAAAAACTCTGTTTTACACATGGGGTGACTTATCTTTGGTCATCTTTCAATGGCCATTCCTAAGAAACCAACCTCAAAGAGAATTTAAGAAGTTCTTCCTTAAGCTTTTCCACATGTCTGTTCATACATCCGTCTTGCTCATTTCCTTACATTGATGAGGTTCACCTCTTCTCCCCCTTCAGGTTGTGAGAAGTACTTGGTGAAGACGGCTTTCTTCCCATTTTATTCTCTTATAGCACAGGGGATATGGTGTTTTATTACTGCCGAAACTGTGTGCGAATATAATTAGTGCCCCCCTGGTGTCAGAGCGCAGGTAATTTCCTCATATAACAATTTTACCTCCATTTGAAGCATCACTAATTTCATTTTGTAGTTTGAGGAACATTTTTCTTTCTATACTCTTGAAGATTGATTAATCTGATGCAGGGCTTCCTTCAAAAGACATCCAGTAACTCAAGTCTCAAAATTTCCTATTAGTCATTTGATTGTTAAAGTGCAGAGATCCTCTGCCTGGGCAGAGATTTTATTTCTATGATATTAACTCAGTACATGAGACAAGCTGAGAATGTAGAGTAGACAAATCTATAGGAGTTTCACTTACAAAGTCACAGAGTTATCAGGAAAGGCCTGAGCCCTTTAACATTTTTCAATAAACTATGTGAGCTTGGAGCTACTTAATTTCTACTTCTATTTCCTGATACATAAAGTGGGATAAAATGATGAACATTATTATAGGTATATTGTGAGAATTAAATAGAATACTATGTATAAAGCATTTGGAACAGTGTCTGACAGATTGATCTTATTTTATTATTAATATTATTACTAATATTTATTTTTAGTTAAATAATTTAAATTGATTGATATGTTATAAGGTTTACTGTGGCCAAAAATTTTACAGAAACTCTGGTTTATTATGAGTTTTACATACTGAAGGAGAAACAGGACTCAGTGGGCATGAAATTCACACATCTAATTCTGCACAGTAAAATCTCATTAACCTGTAAGCCTGTAACATGAAATTTACAGTAATTAATGAGAATTTTCTTTTCTAGTATTTGTGAAGGCAAGTTTTGCCAGACAAATAAATAAAGGGTATTTTTGACCAGCCTAAGGGACAATATTTAATAAAATTTAAACTACTCTAGGCATATCCTTTGGTATATAAAAATTAATAAAGATGCATTTATATATAAGATATATGAAAAAGTTATTTATAAGAGTTCTTAGTTGTATATTATGGTATGTCCAGGATGCCATATTCCTGACAGCATTTTGTTAATAATTGTCAAATTTGCACTGTTGTATGTATTGAAGGTAATAAACATATATTTTCTTTTTATGTTTTATTTCAGATTTTCTCCCCACTTTTCAATATTACTGGATTTTCTGCACACTATTTCCAAAGACCACAATCAATATTCAAAGCTAAGAGATCCTTTATTCGTTTTTTAAAAAATTAAAAATTCAAAAGTTTAAACAATTTGGCAAAACAGGTAACCCACCTTCCATGAGAACCTCCTCCAAAATCATCATCACTCAGTAGCAGGAGGACAGATAAGTCTTTCTGGCACCTGTGAACATATTTCATACTTGTTCATCAACACATGAAAGGCTGTGGCATAGAATAGCTCATTACTCCCCTCTCCTCACAAAAAAAAAAATTGTGTAAGTTTCTAGGGAGAGAATCATGAATGCAGACAGACAGAGTGACTTACTGTTTGGATTTTATACCATAAACATGTAATACCTATCCAAAAATTCAAAAACTTTTGAAAGAATTGAATGGTTAACTAGTCCTTCCATTATCAGAATATTCTCTTTCCTTGGCTTTGATCATACCACACTGGTTTTCCTACAATCATTGAGGTCAATCCCGATTTGAGTCTTCCAATGATTATAACTGTCTTTTACTAGAAATTTCTCATCTAGATCTTCCAGCCTTCTCACTTTTTTCATCCTCCAGGGACTAGTCTCATATACTCCTGTGATTTAAGTTGCTTGCACCGTCAGGATCATCAAATATATATTCATTTACTCAAAACATATGTATTAGGTATCCAGCACTATGTACTAGAATACAGCAATGAGCACAGCAGACAAAACTTACAATTTTTTAACTTTCTTTCTATGCAGGAAAATGAAAATGAAATGGGTAAAATATGGTTATGATTACATGGTTATAAGTTCTAAAGAGAAAAATTAAATTAAGAAAGGGAAATATAATGTCAGGTGAGAACACAGAGATTTTGGACTGGCCCCAGCCCAGCTCTCAGTTTTGAGTTTCAGGTGTATATATCAAAACATGCAGCGTGCCCTGGATAGCGGGCAGACACCTTAAACTCAATAGGATCCAAACTGGATGTATCATCCCCATTAACTTTATCACTTGCACCTAGTTGCTCAAACCATAAATGTATGAGTTATCCTTAAATCCTTCTTCTCTCTCATTGTCTGTATCATATCTGTCACAAAGGTTAGCCAGTTCTTCCACCCAACTGTGGTCACTTCTCTTCATCTTCACTGTTCTCACTATCTTCATTCAGGCTTACATCATCCTAACCTGGATTCCTGCAATAGCTTTCTACCAGGTCGTTACAGCCATTCCTGTCCTCCACCAGTGTGATCAAAATTCAACCTGATGCTCTCCTGCTTCAACCCATCAATGGCCGCAATGGCTCCAGCCCAGGTCTTCAACTATGGCAACAGTCATGCTCGCCCGTCTTCTAGGCTGACTGTTCTTCCTTCATTCTTCATGTATGCCATTCTCTCTTGGCCCAGGATATTTGCACATATTTCCTCTGGACCATTCTTCCCCCAACTCTTCAGTCTATCCTAGTTTTTAGATCTCAGCTGAAGTATCACTTCATCCAAATCCTCAAATTGAGTTATTTACCACATGTACGGATTCCATAATCTCCAATCTTTCCCACTTTGCTTGCTACACATGTAATTGCTTCTGTGATGGCTCTTTCCCACACTACAGTGTAAATTCCAAGAGGATAAGGACCACATGCCTGCCGTTTCAACATATCATCCCCAATGCTTATGCTTATCCAATAATGTTTGACAAAGAGTAGGGACCCACTATCATATTTACAGAATAATAAATAAATATTATTGTAAAGACTAATGGAAGATGGTTGGTGACTTTTTACTTTGCATTTATATGTTTCATATTAAGAGATAACTTTGAAATATGATCCCTTAAGAGGATTTACATTTTGTTTTCCCAGTGTGCATTTGGGATCTTTAGAGTGCTTTCCAGGAACAGACAATCCTCTAGATTCTATATTATTTTTCTGATTTTGCACTAGGCAACCTTATCAGCAAATTCTTCCAGAGTCATGTCCAGTGTTGATTCTGCTATACAATATAAACCCACTTTAAGCATAAGTTGATCTTAGGTTTTGTAACTAGAAGGAATATATTTTTAATTATGTAAGTGACAATTATTGGTAAGAGATATTTCTGAGATGTTACTGCATAGAGAAAACAAGTATTCTTTCACATCTCTTCTCATTTTGATTGCTGCTTTGGTCTTTAATAAAGCTCCTTCTTAACCTTACCTTAATTTCCTTGAATTCTTGTTCCTTTCTTCTTAGGCTAATCTATAATAATTGCACCAAATTTATATTTACTCCATCTTCATAATCGAATGCCACTACACCTTGTTTCTTTTTCTGTCCATTCATTGTGGCTTATTCATTAAAAGATTGCTAATAGGTATTAATCACATGTCAAATGCTACACATAAATTTACTTTATTCTACTACAATCCCATGGAAAAGGTACCATTTTTCTTCTCCTTTTTCCAGAAAAGGAAATTGAGGCTTAGAGAGGTTAAATGGCTTATCCAAGTTACAAAGTTACTAAGTATTTGAGCTGGACTTTGAACTCAAAAGGATTACCTCCCTTCCTCTATGCACTCAGTTTGAACTATGCCATTTTACTTGCTGAGATGGATGCTACTTTTATTTTAACTCTTCGCCTTTCTCTTCTTTAATCTCCTGTATTTAATACGCCTTCGATAAATCATTGTTTAATCATTCACTGGGCTATTATTATTATTCTAGATGGGTGACGGTATTTGTGGTCTGTTCTGTTTACTGCATTCTGTTCTCTCAAATCACACTGACATGGGCCTAAGTAGACAGGGGCTGGTAGTTCAGAAAGTACAACATGGGTAACTAGGTCAGAAGGAAAATCCTGTTTTGAGACGTTTTCCAGGTTGAGAGGACCTTTCTAGGGCTTCATCATTTGGTTACTAGTGCCTCAAACTGCTTTGGAAATCCTTTAAGTAGAATGATAATAATCTAAACTTTTTTTTCCCCCTGCTTGTGCAAAAGATTCCGATCGTGTGTAAGAGTAAAGAAAAAGATAAGAAAATGAGCAGTTTTCCGTGGTCATAGGTCTATATTCCAATGCCTGTAACTCGACCTGAGTAACCACAGATGGGAGACTTATAGATCTTTCCCTCCCCACCACCGTGTGTGTGTGTGTGTGTGTGTGTGTGTGTGTGTGTGTGTGTGTGTGTGTGTGTGAGAGAGAGAGACAGAGAGACTTTGGATGGGCTCATATGAGCCTCGGAGTCGGGTAAGACGCCACGATGTAGCTCTGCACTGTGTTTATGGTGCTGTGTTTTACCTGCCTCTAACCTAGAAACTCCCCTGGTCGGAGAAGGCACGTAGCTTTCCCCTCCCGCTTGTCATCCACCCCAGGGGAGCTGTCGGATTCTCCCCCTCGCAGCCCTCCCGCCTCCACACTTCCCGCCTCCAATCACGCCCCCGTCCCCCAAGCTGCCCCAGAATGACCCTCTGACCAAGGCCGGGGGTGGGGGGAGGGAAGGTCACTGGAAGGTAAGTGGGTCACCAGTGCAGCCGCGACCCCAAAGAGCCCCGGGTGCTTCGGAGCCCGCGGAGCGACGCCCGCCGCCTGCCACCGACCCTGCCGGCTGGCCGTCCCTCCTCTCCGTAGACATCGGCCGGGACGAGCCTCGTGCTCCGTGCGCGCCCGCTCCGCCCTCAGCTCCCGCGGGCTCGGTGAGCTCGGCCCGCCGCGGCGAGAAGCTGGAAGCGGGCGAGGTCGGGGGCGCGGTGGTGTCGGGAGCCCAGGCTGTCCCCTCCAGTGGTTAGGCTCGCTGGCTTTGAAGTGCAAGCCTTGTTTCACCTCTTGCCACCTGAGTGACCTTGGGCAAGTTCTTTAGATTCAGTGCACCAATTTCTAAATCCATAAAAGGGGGCACCCAAGTGATACCTAAATGCTGCTACTGTTGTAAGATTAAATTGATGCGGCACTCCGGCACATAGTAGGCGCTCAGTTAATGGTGACAATGATTATTATTATTAGTAGTGGTTACAGGCTAAGCACTGGTGCCAAGAATAAAGATTTGAGCTCTCGCCTTCCCAGTTCTCCACCGGGGGTGGAGGGGGGGTTGGGGGTTGGGGCGGCGGGAGTACCTGCCCTACACCCCCTTCCCGCGTGCGGAGATAAACTCGGTAGCACCCGGAGATTCGCTGGGGATCCGGCTCCTCGGGACGACCCGGGTGCCCCCAACCTCGTAGCACCTCCCAGCGCCAGTGGCACTTCTTTTTCCCTCCAGCGGAGGAAAGATTTCTTTTGTGAATCGAGCATCTCCCCCGCCCCCCCAGCCGCCCTCCAGCCCAGGCTTGCAGCCTCCTCCGGGTTCCGGTGCCGGGAGCGCCGGCCGGAGCCTCGAGCGGGCGGGGAAAGGAAGCCTCCGGGAGCGCGAGTCCCCCCGGGCTCGGGAGAAGGAAGAGAGGACGAAGTGGCGCGGAGACCGCGGGAGAACACGGTGCCCTGCCGGCCGCGGGGGCCCCTCCTCATTTCGCCTGCCTTCTAGGGGCCGCTCGCTCGGGCCGGTATCCAGAGGCGCAACCCCGGAACGGCCGCGCGTCCGCTCCCCTGCCCTGGCCGGGGGCCGGGGGCCAGCTCGGCGCGCGGCGGGAGTGGGCGGCGAGCGCGGGCCCGCGAGGTAAGGAGGGGCGGGAGGGGCCGGCACGTGTGTGCGTGCGCGGGGGCGCGTGCGGCCGAGGGGGCGTGGGGGGCCCGGCCGGGGCGCGTCCCACCCGGCCACCTGCCCTGCCTGCGCCGCGCGGCCGCCCACGCCCTCTCGTCCCCTGCACCTGTGCCGGGGCGCTCGCCACTCGCGTCTCTCGCGCCTCCGCGCCCCGTCGTCTCCCCCTCGTCCGAACCCCACCCTGCCCACTGATAATTCCCCACTGCAGAATCAGACCGAAACCTGGAGAGAGACGGCGTTGCCTTCTTGCTCCCCTCGCCGCTCCCCCTCCCCCCTGCTATAAATAACCCTGACTAGCGGGTCAGGAACGTCACACGGCGAGAGACCAGGACCCCGAGGTCTTCTGCTCTGGGAATAGGGGGCAAAAAGGGTGAGGAGAGGAGAAAGAAATTGCTCGTGAGTAGTGAAGAAAAGCTTGCTCCTTGACTCCTAAAAAGGACCAGGAATCATTTTATTCTTTTCTTTTCCTTTCTTCTTTTTTTATTTTTCCGTTTCGTTCTTATTCTCCACCCGCCTCTCCTCCCCCCCCCGCCCCAAATCCAAAGGGTTGCTCAGCACTCCTCCCATTGGTTTTCTCCCTTCCTCCCCCCGCTACTCCTGCAAAGTCCCCTCCCCCGCGCCTCGCCGCACCACCGCTGCCCCCAACCCCTGCCACCCCCGTCCCCGTCTTGCCCCAGGCAGGGGATGCTGTTGGCCGAGGAAATAAAGTTCAAACTCCCTGCCCGGTCTCCCGCTGAGACCAGAAGTGGGTTTCCCGGCACCCATCTTCCGCTCGCACCCCACACCTGCTCTCCTTAAAATCCTAATCTGGTTTTGCATATTTAAGAGGACACACACACACACACACACACCCAAAAACCCACAACCCGCGAGGTGCAAAACTGCGTCCTGCAACTACCGAAACTTACCAGACGCTGTAGTTGTTTTTGTCTTAACGGGAGGACAACAAAGAATATACTCTAGATGCTCCTGTGGGGTTACTTTTCTATATGACTCAAATATGTATGTTTTATACATATATATGCCTTTCCTTTTTCCCCTTTAATTTTTTTTTTTTTTTTTTAAACAAGGATATCTGCTCGGTCTCTGGCAGCCGCGCTTCCCCTTTGATGTTTTGGTACGCCGTGCGCATGCGCCTCACATTAGAATTACTGCACTGGGCAGACTAAGTTGGATCTCCTCTCTTCAGTGAAACCCTCAATCCCATCAAAAACTAAAGGGATGTGGAGAGTCCGGAAAAGAGGCTACTTTGGGATTTGGTCATTCCCCTTGATAATCGCCGCTGTCTGTGCGCAGAGGTAAGTGGTGTTCAGCGTTTCTCTTTCTTCCTTTCTCATTTTGAAGGGCTCTCTGCATACCTCTGTGAGCAGGGAAATGTAGTAGGGATTAGATGTTGAAGACGCTGCGCCGGCTTTCTTATTGATGCCTGTTTATTGTCATTTCTTTCTTTAGTGTCAATGACCCTAGTAATATGTCGCTGGTTAAAGAGACGGTGGATAGACTCCTGAAAGGCTATGACATTCGTCTGAGACCGGATTTTGGAGGTAATGGGATTGCCTTGTAAATAAGAAACAGTCCAGCTATAGCCGAAGCTGTCTTTGGAGCTCTGTGCGCGCTCTCCTCCCTCTCCCTAGTTGTGGGCGCATGTGGTGAACTGAATGTGTCTCTGTTTTGCCATATGGAGAAACTGACCCAAACTTAAGCTGGTTTGTTACTATCCAGCACTTGGGTGGTCTTTCAAGGCGCCCCTCTTAGGGCGTACTCAAATTTGGTGACTGTTGTCTTTCAGCTTCACTATTATAAATCCTTAGCTTCACTGTTTTGTGCTTCCTTGAGATATAAACCTCTTAAGTTTAGTTAATGGTGTGCAGAGAGAACCTGCCTTACAGAAGGCCATCCTGAACATTTTTAAGGACAAGATGTGCAGGCAATTGGTTGAGAGGTGGCATTAACCCCCTGTGCCCGCCTACTTTGGAAGAGTACTTCTGTCCACGGTTTAAAGTGGCTCATGTCTGGATCTTATCCAGTTCTCCAAGCCTCACAGAAGAGGGGAGGATGGGGGAATGGGAGTGTAGGGGGAAAAATGGGAAGGGAGAGAGGGGAACCGAAGAGAGAAGAGAAGGACCTCTGGCTGCAGCCCTAGATATGCTGACAGACTAATTTAATTTTGCTTCATTCTCTTCTGAAGCTCAAAGAGTTAAAACCTGAACGCAGAGGGCGGGCGGATGAGAAAGAATGAGGAGGAGGGGGTTGCAGAGCAACACATAAACAATGTATTAAAGTCCCTTGGGTTAGAAAGATTCTTGTGCTTCTGTGTGTTGTATGTATTCACATGCTGAAACATATGTATAATGTAAACTGAGCTGGAATCCCTTTTCTATCAGCACACGTGTGTGCATATTCAATAGAGCATTTCCTAGAGGAGTGAGTGCTTGCCACCTTTTATACAAATGATCAGGAAATTGAAGCATTTGAGTGTGAGCAATGCAGAGGGGTTTTGGACAGAGTGTCCTATGCCCAGGGACAACTCTTGCAAAGAATGAATGAAGTTCTGAGGAATCACGTGGCTGACTTGGTTTGCAGGTCCTCCAGTGGCTGTGGGAATGAACATAGACATTGCCAGCATCGATATGGTTTCTGAAGTGAATATGGTGAGTATTGTGGTTTATGCCTTTGTTTCTGCAGACCTTCATTTGGGGACAGGGAAGAGGAGGGAGCCAGCTGTTGGAGTAGGGTATGTGTGTGTATGTGTATGAGGTGGGGGCTAGAGCAGAGGATTTTGCCTTGGAATCCCCTGGCAAGATTTTTTTGTTTGAGGTTACAGAGAAGGCTATTTCTTGTTCCTAATGATTTTTTTTTTCAGCCTGGTTCACATACTTGGGACTTGGCATAGAGGGAGTAAATGCATCACACATTCATGTGTAAAATGCAGCCACGTGCAGGAGACCCTGGCAGAAGCCACATTTCCTAAGGCATAATGGGAAACTCAGTTCATCACGTGATTTTCTGGGTTTGGGGTCAAGTCAGGAGAAGAGGGGAGGATTTTGATTTGACATTTAAGAGAACATAACCTACAAACTAAACTAACCGACCCTGGAATACTGATGCTGACTTGTTGCTTTGGGAGATCACTTCTTTACAGTTAATGGCAGGCACTCTTCCCCTCCATGTCCCAGCCCCATTACTTGCTGCCTCTTTTAACCCTCTTGCCACCAAAATAAAATAAAAATTGACTACCCAGTTTCCAAGAGGTAGGCTCAGATCCATGTGTCATCTCTGGTCACTTCAGCAATGGTATTCACCTCATGTCCTAAGTTGTACAATTTATTGACAGTAGCACTCCTTAGTGGCTACCTCCTTGGACTTTGGGCAAGTGCTAAGAGAAAAAGCTTGTGTGTTCCCAACCAGGAAACACGTGTAGGGGGTTTGCTTCGTGCAGGAGCGACCCCTGCTGCCCATATTGAAGCACTGCATACATGCAAGACTATGGCAAGTGTTCCAGATACCCCCACTTACTTGGGACATTTCTCCAGTGACTATCTTACTCTGTATTTTTAACATTTTACCCCCTGGAAAATTTCCTCTAGATAGACTACATTTGAATGTAAAACTCCAGTGCCACTTTGAATTCTTATAGCACACAGTACATTTTAGAAGATTGTGTTATGGCATAGTTCTGTCTAGAAATTGGATAAATTATTAATGAAGGAAGTATAGTGTGTAAGCTTTTATGCAAAACACTTCTAAGCCAGCCAGCAGGGGCAGGAAAGTTAGCTGTCAACATTACACAAATTTCCATATTCCCAGAATTCAAACCAAAAGAAAGCTCAATAACCAGCATAGTCCTCTACTCTGTGGCCAGAGATAAGTGATAATCTTGAGGTATCAGAAGATTCTAAAGCATATGAATACTTATGCTTATACCTCATGAATACTCAAGATAATATTCAATGATTTCAGTAATGTTTGAGTGATATGAATCTTCTTTTATTCTAATTTTGGGAAAGTTTCTATCATATGGGATAAAAACACAGTCTAAAGATAGTAGTGGATGTTTCAGAACTATAGATTTTCCTCACATTATGAAAATACCCTATGTGGATTGAGAATCCTGTGGATTGAGAATTTCTTTCTTATTTAATCCTCACATAGGAAAATATTCACTTTTGTGGAATTTTAGAGGCCTTTCATGAGTTTATATTTTGAATTTCAGCATAAAAATAAAAAATGCTCCAATGTGGGTAACTCTTAAATCCTAGGAACTTGAATCTACATTCTGTTGTTGAAAACAAAGTAATGCAGTAATCAGGGGTGATTCTGTGTGTCCTACATGTGATTGAATCAAACTGTTCTCTTTTGCATTTTGCTTTATTTATACTCTTCTCCTCATCCCAAGTTTTATTTTACCGCCTCTTTCTTTAGAGTGTCACAAAAATGGGATTTTGTGGGGAAAAAAAAATTAGAATCCTAAGATACAATCATGAGATGGCTAGAGGTTGCTATAATAGGTTAGCTAAGAACTTAGGTGTATTATATCCTAAAGCTGTTTAGAGTGGTAGAGATTTTGTTTTCTTTTCCTTTAAATTTTGTTCATTTTTACCCACATGCAACATTTTTGAGAGGTGTCTGAGGTGGACACAATGCCAAGACCTGCTAGTCAAAATATAGATCCAGCTAAGGCAAGGTGTCATCACTTAAAGCTATTTACTGTTACTGAAAAATCATGGGATGTTGAAAGTGCAAAAATAAATGTCAGGTTGTAAATGGGACAGCATTGCAGCATTAGTGATTAGAAGAACCAAGTGTTGAAAATTCCGAGCCAGATTCCTTTCTTAGCCTAATGCTAACACCCATGGATTTGCCAAGCCACATTTTGACTTGTTGAAAAATGAATATTTATTTCAGCTAGCAATCTTAATGACCTAAACTTAATCCTTCAAAGAAAATTTTTCATGATGTATGTTGTTGTTGTGTTTTTGAAAAGATGGTTACTTGTTTTGGAGCAACAGATGGGAAATTCCATCACTGATCTCTAAATAAAAGAAGAAAATGTTTATGGTACGTTATTCCAGGTATAAAGGCCTAAAAGTGTTAAGATCTTTTGATTAGATTCAGTTCTGAAAGAACGGTTGATTGATTATTTAAGTGAAACTTCTCAATTGATTAGCAGACAAGTCTTTGCCTCATTTCCCTTTGTGGACTGCAGCCTCTGGTAATTGTAACTTTCTCTTAATTAGCACACCTTGCTTTGAAGAGTGGTAGGCCCAGACCATTTAAATTGTCATTGACTCATTTGTACTGAATGAATAAATATCCATGTCAATGTGATGCTCCTGATAAAAGACAACAATGGAAAGACCTTAAACTGAATCAAGAGTCTTAGATGCTAGTTCTGCTTCTGATACTTAGTTCACCCTGAGGGTATTCAGACGGACTCAACATCCTTACTTGATAAAGGGGATTAAGAGTCTCATTTTAACCTATCTCAGATGACTACCAAAATTATTAGAATGATAACAGTCATACCCCATTTTTATTGCTTTATTTTATTATTTTTAAATTTTTTATTATTTATTTTATTATTTTATTGCTTTATTTTATTATTGCTTTATTTTGCTTTGGAGATAATGCATTTTTTTTTTTTTACAAATTGAAGATTTGTGGCAACTCTTCATTGAGCAAGTCTATAAGTGCCATTTTTCCAACAGCACGTGCTCACTTCATATCTCTGTGACATATTTTGATAATTCTTGCAATATTTCAAACTTTTTCATTTTTATTATATCTGTTATGGTGATCTGTGATCGTTGATCTTTTAATATTACTGTGTAACATGAGCCGTGAACTGTGCTTATACAAGATAGCAAACTTAATTGATAAATGTCTTTTGCTTTCTGACTGGTCAACTGATTGGCTGTTTCCTGGTCACTCTACCTCTCATTAGGCCTCCTTATTCCGTGAGACACAATGATGTTGAAATTAGGCCAATTCATAACCCTACATTGGCCTCTAAGTCTTTGAATGAAAGGAAGAGTCACATGTCTCTTACATTAAATCAAAAGCTAGGAATGATTAAGCTTAGTGAGGAAGGCATGTCAAAAGCTGAGATAGGTTGAAAGCTAGGCCTCTTGCGTCAAATAGTTAGCCAAGTTGTAAATGCAAAGGTAAAGTTCTTGAAGGTAATTAAATGTGCTCCAGTGAACACATGAAAGATAAGAAAGCAAAACAGTCTTATTATATGGGAAAGTTTGAGTGGTCTGAAAAGGAGATCAAACCAGCCACAACATTTCCTTAAGCCAAAGCCAGATTGCCAGAGCAAGGCCCTAACTATTCAATTCTAAGAAGGCAGAGAGAGGTGAGGAAGTTGCAGAAGAAAAATTTGAAGCTAGCAGAGGTTGTTTCATGAGGGTTAAGGAAAGAAGCATCTCTATAACATAAAAGTGCAAGGTGAAGCAGTAAGTGCTGCTACAGAAGCTGTGAAATTTATCCAGAATATCTAGCTAAGAAAATTGATGAAGGTGGCTACACTAAATAACATATTTGCAATGTGGACAAAACAACCATTGTGAACCAAACAACCCTATATATTGGTAGAAGATGCTATTGAAGACTTTCATAGGTAGAGAGGAAAAGTCAATGTCTGGCTTCAAAGCTTCACTCTCTCACTGGGGAAAGTACAGCTAGTGCAGCTGGTGACTTTAAGTTGAAGCCAATGCTCGTTTATCATACCAAAATTCTAGGGCCCTTGAGATTATGCTAAATCCACTCTCCCTGTGTTCTATAAATGGAACAACAAAGCCTGGTTGTCAGTACATCCTTTTATAGCACAGTTTACTGACTATATTAAGCCCACTGTTGAGACCTACTGCTCAGAAAAGATTCCTTTCAAAGTATTATGCCTCATTGACAATGCATATGGCCACCCAAGAGTTCCAATGGATATTAGAAGGAGATTAATATTTTCATGTTTCTAACACAATATTCTGCAGCCCATGTTTCAAGAAGTAATTTTGACTTTCAATTCTTATTATGTAAGAAATATATTTTGTAAGGCTGTAGCTGCCTTAGATAGTGATTCCTCTGATGGATCTAGACAGTCAGTTGAAAACCTCTGGAAAGGATTCACCATTTTAGATGCCATTCATGATTCATGGGAGGAGGCTAAATATCAACATTTACAGGAGTTTGGAAGAAGTTGATTCCAACCCTCATGTATGACAGTAGAGTTGAAGAATTCAGGGGAGGAAGTCACTGCAGATGTAGTATTAATAGTAAAAGAACTAAAATTAGAAGTGGAGCCTGAAGATATGACTGACTTGCTGCAATCTCATACAACTTGAATGCTTGAGAAGTTGCTCCTTGTAAATGAGCAAAGAAAGGAGTTTCTTGAGATGGAATCTACAACTGGGGAAGATGCTATGGACATTGTAGAAATGACAGGAAAGGATTCAGAGTATTACATAAACTTAGTTGGTAAAGCAGTGGTTTGAGAGGATTGGCTTCAATTTTGAAAGAAGTTTTGCTGTTGATAAAATGCTATCCACCAGCATCATATGCTATAGAGAAATCTTTCATGAAAGGAATAGTCAATTGATTTGGCAGATTTCATTGTTGTCTTATTTAAGAAATTGCCACAGCTACCCCAGGCTTC